CAACTTGGGCCAGTGAAGCGACGTCCTCCACAGCTGGACTGGGGAACAGAGGGACAGCAACTTGTCTGTTCCCCTTCCCCCAATTCCCAGCACTGTTCCCATACCCCAATTCCCCAATAAAAATCTTAAAAAAAAAGAAAACATAGTAATTGCTCAGTACATGTTAAATATGATTGTTGGTATTGATGTTACTCTTGGAACTACTGGCAAAGAGGAGACTGGTAAGGTTATAGGTCAGTACAGAGTCTATATTGTCACCTAGCAGATAGCCACAGGTAGCACCTAACATCAGCTGAAAAGAGGGAACCAATCAGTTACAGAATAGTAACGGAGATATAAAGTACAGCATAGGGAATATAGTCACTAATATTGTAATAACTCTGTATAGTGCCAGGTGGGTACTGGGCTTATCAGGGAGATCGCTTTGTAAATTATATAAATGTCTAGCCACTATTCGGGACACCTGAAACCAATACAAACTAATATTGAAGGTCAACTGTAATTGAAAATAATTAATTAATTAAAAAAAGGAGGGAGCCATTTCTCTTTTCCAGGCCAAGAATGTGGACAGGGAGCTATCTACCTTGGAAGAGGAGGTGGGACTTCCTGGGTTCGGTTTGCCAGAGGGAAAAGTGAGCTTAATTAGTATGGCACTGAGCTGGATGTACATAGAAACAGAGAAGGAAGAATCGCATCTCAGGGGGTTGATATCTACATTAGCCGCTGACCAATTCCCAGAAGAGAACGAGTATCCATAGCACACAGGTCACATTGCTGCTGGCGGCACACATGGTGCCATCTGCCTGAGAAATATCTGCACTTTGTCTTCCAGCCCCCACACTGGAGACCCTCTCCAGAGTGAACTGCTGAATTCTTCCAGAAATTTCAACTCAAATAAAACTGGGCTGCTTTATAGCCTATCTGATTATAGCTTTGCTTTCTAAAGAAACATGCTTATGAAAAAGAAGCACTGTTGAGCAATTTAATTCTTTACTGGAACTTTTGGAAAAGGTGTCTAAGGGAAATTCCATTTCTCTCCAAGCAACAAAGTTCCCCGATACTCCAGAAAGGTCTCTCCTCTCTCTCCTCTGCGTTTTCGGCTGGAGGCAGACCTCCAGCCCACGAGGCTTTTCTTTCTTTTTTCTCCCTCACCTTTGTCTTTGTGTCTCTTTGTGACTTTCTGGCTCTGAAGATAACTTAGCGTTATGGGTGTGTAGTTTTATAACATTCTTTCAGGGAGTGTATAAGATAAAAGTTTGAATCCCATGTGTATAATCTGCAGGCTGCACAGCACTTAGTGGCCCCTAGAAGGAGTCCCTTCTCACACATTGCTCCAGTTTCACTTCAAGGACAATTTGGAGAGGGGGGAGAGCTTTCATTTGCATTGATTGCTCCACAATTATTAGAAAGGCCCTGGAGGAGAAGCTCCCTGGGAGGGAGATGTGGCGGAAATAGCACTAGGTCTTAGGTGAGTCCTGAGTCTTCCCCTAACTAGCTCTTTGGCTCTCTGAACCATGGTCACAAGTAAACCTGCCCTCCCTACTCCACAGGCTGGTGAAAGGTAATGATAAATAGCACACACTCTGGGATTATACTGCCTGGGTTCAAATTCCAGCTTTGCCACTTACCAGTTGGGTGATTTAAGGTATGTTTTTGATTTCTCTGTGCCTTCTGTTTGTCATCTAATATTAACCATAATAGGAACATTGGTACCTACTGAATAGAGTTGTTGTAGTGATTAACCAAATTAATATTTAGTGGATAAAGTGCTTTTAATACTGCCTGGCACACAGATATTATTATCATTACCTATTACCTTAGCTATTACTGTTATTATATCATTCAACTGGCTGTTGAGAAAATCAAATGGGACAATACATTAGAACAGCTTTAAACCCTCTGGCTACTATACAAATAAAAGAAATACTGATAAAACTATATCAGTTATGGTGCTTTCAGCAGCAAATTACAAAACAAAACAAACAAACAAACAAACAAAACCCTACAGAAATACCCCACTAAAACTGGACTAATCTATAAAGAGATTTATTATTTCCCATAACAGTTAAGTCCATAGATGTGGCAATCAGGGCTCCAGCATCATCGCTCTGGGCTCTGCCCTATGAGTGTGTTGCCTTTGCCTTCACAGTGACACCCCTCCTGCTCATAGGATGACTACGGGCAGAAGCTAAAGCCAGGAGTTTCCCTTCTGCTAATGGTCTGAATACGCATGTGTCCCTAAATTTCCTATGTTGAAACCCTCACTCTCAAAGATGATAGTAATAGGAGGTGGAGCTTTGGGAAGTGCTTGGGGCCATGAGGGTGGGGCCCTCATGAATGGTATAAGTGTTCTTATAAAAGAGAGCCCGCAGAGATCCCTCCCCCCTGCTATTATGGGGGGAAAGAGCAATAAAGTGTTAGCAATGAATCAGAAAGTGGGGGTTCCCACCAGAACTCCACCATGCTGATGCCTTGATCTTGAACTTCCCAGCCTCCAGAACTGTGAGAAATAAATTTCTATCGTTTATAAGCTACCCAGTCTGTGGTATTATTTGCATTATAGAAGCCCAAATGGACAACTGTATCTTCCATCTCATTGGCCAGTTTAAGTCAGGGGCCCACCTCTGGATACAAACAGGTCTTAAGACAATACCACGTATGGATTGCTTTAACCCTGGATGTCTGAAGTGATTACTGGGAAATGGGGTTTTGTGATTAGGTTTGGCTAATCAGGATCCAGTCTCTGAAACTGGGGATGTGAGTCACATGATGTCTTAGGGTCCTAGCAGGAAGAAGATGACATATTAAAGCTAGTTAAATGAGGAGAACTTAATAAATAAAGTGACTTTAAAGGTGTGGGTGAAGTTTAGGGCTGGCCGGGTGGCGCATTGGTAAAAAGTTGGCTGGGGGCACCAGCTCTGAGCAGCAGGGCCCCGGTTCGGATCCCACATGAGGGCCAGTGACACTGCACCCTCTACATCTAAGATGGTGAACAACAGCTCGACCTGGAGCTGGGCTGCCATGAGTCACTGGAATTGGCGTAGGCTACAGGAGCTGGCGGCAGGCGTGAGCTTTTCTGAGCTGCCGTGAGCTGCTGTGAGCAGCCATCCAATGGCCAGTAAGTGACTGCCTCACCCAGGAAGAGTGCAATGATAATACCAACATGGGCCAGTGAAGCGACGTCCTCCACAACTAGACTGAAGGACAAAAAGACAGCAACTTGTCTGTTCCCCTTCCCAATTCCCCAATAAAATCTTTAAAAAAAAAAGGTGTGGGTGAAGTTTAGAAAACTCAACAAGGGATGGTGCCGTCCAGAGGTTAGCAACAGCAGGCAGCCATCACTAAGGCTTAGACTGAGGAACAGGGAGCTTGCACTAGAACATACGCACAGAGAATTGGGCTCATAGAGGGATGCTGTCAACCTGCAACTACTTAGCAATGGAGGAAGCTAGCAAAAGAAATACCCCAGCCTTAGATTTTCTACCACCTACTGAAAACCACAGTGCCAGGGAGCCATTAATGCCTTCAGTGCACACCCATCACCAGGTCAGGTGCCTGGGGACCTAGGTCAGAGCGGAGAAGGGTAAGACGCATTTGGAAGAGCAAATGGAATCACAAGCACAAGTGAATATTGAGCACACATGGGCTGCCCAGGGGAGGAGAATGATACCTAAACAAGATCCTGCCCTGGAAGGCAAGAGGAAAGGAATGCTGGATAGCTATCTAACGAGATTCTCTCTAAGTATCCTTTTTCAAAATAACATTGTTCTGTTTCTTTTTCAACTATAAATGATCTACAATTGCAGACATTTCTTATTTGTTACGTGAAATCCGTCCTCAAGGGAGCTGCACACGAAGATAACAAAAGGCCGAGCTGCCATTACTTGATGAGGGATTCAGGGAAAGGGGAATGTCCTGACCTTTCAGAGAAAAGTGAAGAAATCCATTCCCATGAGGGGTTGCAAAGAAAAGTGGCTGTTCCCTTGATAAAGCCAAAGAGGGCAAGCCTAATGAGGCCTAAGCCAGTCACAGGGTGTAACTTACTGAGTGGTATTGGCTGCCTTGCAAGGTTTCAAGCCGATTTTTGTAATAATTAGCAGGAAAAGATGTGGATGTTGCCATTTTCCAAAGGAAACTTGATTACATTTAGTAAGAGAGAAAAATGTTCTCCTTGGAAAGTCTCGTATTTCTATGCAAAGTGGTATCCAGAATTTACACAATGTATTATTGCCTAGTGTAGGAGAAGCAGCTAATTAGTTCTGAACTAAATGTTAAGATAAACAAACCCAATCCCTAAAGGACTTCAGAAAGCTCTATGACTAAGTGGCACCATCAAGTACCCATCAAAGGGGGGAGGAGAGTCTACATCCGTCATTCTCAACGCAGTCTGCACATTAAAACTGTGTGGCGAGCTTTAAAAAATTTTCTTTTTACATGCAGATTCCACCTCAGAGCAATTAAAAGACTCTTTCAGTGAGGTCTAAGCATTGGTATTTTTTGCAAAGCTCCCTAAGCAATTCTAATATTCTATGAGGGTTGAGAATGTCTGGCCTATAGGATACTTACAGGTCCATCTCTAATAGATGCAGCACGCCCAGATCAAGTAGACCATTTGCTTTGCTGAATAGCTCAATCCAAATCGCCATCCTGGCATGTGGAGCCTGTGCCTTCATTTCGCTGTGACTTTCAGCCAGATATTGAGGCAGCACAATAGAGGGTTAGAAATGGGGACTCTGAGAGCATCTGCCTGGGTCCAGTTCTGCATCTGCGCATGGGCTATGTGATTTTGGGAAAGTTATTTAACCCTTTTGATGAATATTCATAATCTGTCAAATGGGGGCAATAGTAGGGATTACAACCTAGACTGTGTTGGAGATTAGTTTAGAATGAACTTCATGTTTATAAAAGTCTTAGGGAACTCTCAAGGAATGCAAACTTTTATTATATGTCTACATTTAAGCCCAGTGGAAGCCTCAGAAGGATTCCTATATTCTGCTCACCTGGCTTTGTAGAGTTCTGTTCTGCATGGTTGGGGAGGTAGAGATGTTTAAGTAGATGGATCTTCTGGCTCCTTCCAGCTCAGGGTCTATGGGTCTATGAGGTCCTTTGAAGTCACTCTGCATGAAAGACAATGGCATTAACAATTAACAAATGGAAACCACTAGTATTCCAGCCAGTAACAGCCACTGTTTGTTGAGTGTGCCAGGCATTATGTTAAGTACTTTACATCTTCTCTCACTTTATCCCCAAAAGAATCCTACATAAACAGGAAGTATCGCTGCTTTACTGATGAGGAGCCTTTGGCTGAGAGACGATGAACAACTTTCCCAAGATATTCCAGATAATAAATGACTGAATTTGGGTTCAAACCCAGGTCTCTCTGGCTTCAGAGCTCATGGTTTGTCAACCGGGCCATGTTGTCTGTCTTTAATGACTCCTCAATGTGAGGGCTGCTGCACCCTCTTCTCATGGAGAAAGAACAAACCCAAACCTTACTGAACAAGTGCGGCGATGTCCCAGGGAGGGGTCCTCCTTAACTCACCTCTTCCTTTCTGGGACCACATAGATCTGAAGTACAAAAATTAAAGTCAGACCTCATGGAACTGGCTTGGGGCCACAGAGAGCAAGTAAACCCCCGAAGTAGAATTCCTGGGTCCAGAGCTTTCTTTGGAAAGAGAATTATCTTCCACATGGGAGTATTTTTCATCCTGCAAGATGGGCTAGTGGGTAGTGTTGTTTCATGGGGAAGGAGGGGCAGCATCTGCCTTTGGTGCTCTTCCGAGGACCCACTCTTTTGTTCATCAGTGGAAGGTGATTAGTGAGTGGAAGAGCTGCTCACGGCCTGTCTCTAATATGTTAAAATGAGTCCATTCATAACCACTTATCTGCTACAGGGCAGGACACCAATGCCGTTGTGATCACATTTCCCCCTGCCCCAAATGGGGACACTTGGTCACACATGTATTTTTCCTGATTTGGAAAAGTACTTATGTGCAAACTCTTAGAAAGATAACATTTGAAATCACATTCACAAATATGTTTTTAATAACCTCATTGCAAAGACAAAGTGATAAGAACAGCCTCGTTTTGTTGGGGGTTTGGTATGGGCCAAGCTTTACTTGTATTAACCCAGTTAAGCCTCACCATACCCTGTGAGGTACGGATCTGGCCTTTCAACTGTGGAGACTATATAGCTCAGAAAGCTGAAGTAATTGCCTGATGGATTCTGTGGTAGATTTCTGGTATCTGTCAGGTCCCCAGCAGGAGACATTCAGATTGAGTAAGTTGGGAGAGTTTAAAATACTGGCGCTAGATACAAAGGATGGTCAGGGCGAAAGGAAATGAAAGAGGCACAGGCAGCACCTCAGCCCTACGTCTAAAGGGAAAGACCTCTAACAGGAGCTGTGACTGAGTAGAGAGAGGTAGCCAGGCCTTCTGGCCCAGTGGGGAGGGAGCTGTGGTAACAAATACCACCCCCCTCACTACACCCCTCGTCCCTCCAATCTCCTACAGGGCTTTGCATCAGCTGAACTCAATTGGAGGTCAGAGGGCAAGAGACCCTTGATTCAGTCTTTCCGGGTTGACTTCCATGAGGCACGGGACAGGGTAGAGAAGGGCGGAGAATGGACCTGATCTCAGGTTGGCCAATCAGCAATTCTTTCTCTAGAATGTGAGATTGGAAACAGAGACGTGGAAACGAACACTGTGAATGGTTTATGACAGAACGTCCATGAATTTCTATTGCTGAGGAAACTTGAGCTTTTCTGCTTCCATTCTTTTTACAAGTTGGGTGCTCAGCTCCCCAGGATCGTTTTGATATGTCCCTTACTTCTGCTTAACCCAATCAAGCTGGCTTACTGTCGCTTATAATTCGAAGGTCCCTGAATAAACAGTGCCTAAGTGTCCTCTGTCACCCTCGTCTCCTCCAGTATTGGTTTTTAGATCACTGCATTTATGTCTATATTCTCAACTGTAGTCAACAAAAGAGCTCATGTTTAAGAATAAGGAGAAGGAGAACAAGAGCAAGAATGATTTTTAAGACTTGGAATGCGGGAACCTCTTTGATGTGATCCTGTTGAGAGCCACTCATCTCATCCTCCATTTTCTCATGTTGCTGTTTCAGAGAAAAAGTAAATTATAGGGTTGTCATTGTTATAGAATAGGCTGTTCTGATGAATTGAATGTGCTGGTGAACTGTTCAGCCCCTTTAAATTTTAATTCTAGTTGACACCTTTGTTCAAATGTCAGTATCTTTTCTTCCTTAATGCATACTGAAACATCCCAGAGAAAAGTTTCAAAGCCCTAGTACCTGGAATTTTAGGTAGATCGGCAGTCATTCCTTGAGGTCCCTAAAGAGTCGACTGGAAAGACAGCATTCACTGAATTTTCTGCCCCTCTTTGCAGAGAAATAAATCAGCCAGTCTTTCATTTGGCAACTATTTGCTGGGCCTGCCTGGGCGGTGCTCCTATCAAGACATATAAAAATGAAAAGAGATTGTCTTTTCATGGGGGCAAAGTACCTCGAGCCCCAGCTCTTGCTGTTCACTCCGCCTGGTAATATCTATGTTTACACTTAGTGTTTTAATAGAGCTCACCTTCAACTTATTTTAAAATACATCTCACCAGAAAAGTTTTTGTGTGTTTGTTCCCTTTCCCGTAGCTGCAACACCTGTGGAGAACTTGCTTCTTTTCTGACCAAGACCTTTCTGTCCACCTGGGGGCAGCATATCCTTACATTAAAAGCACCTCAAAGGCAGTAACTGGCTTTTCTGAGCTCCTGGCTTTCCAACGCAGCCTTCGCAGGAGTGTTTCCCAAATGATCGACCCCATCAATATTAATTCTGAAGACTTACACTTGAAGGAGGGATTCCACAGTCAGTTAAGTTTGGGTAACTCTGGCTTAAGCAAAGTTAAAAGGTGTCCTCTTTGCAGGACTTCTCAGAACCTTGAATAATGTACTTTTATGCTAGATAGTCAACCTTAAGGCATGCTCGGGCTGTGCCTGGTGCTGTGCTAAGTGCTTTGCCTGCACTGACCCTAGTGAATCTTCACAATAACCCCAGGAGTTAGGCCTGACACTATTCTCCATTTGACAAATGAAGAAACAGAGGCACAGAGCTGCGGTTCCAATACAGGCCATTCAGCTACAGAGCTCGCATATTTGACTATCGCACTATGATGCTCTGCAAAGTGAGACTCCAAGACGGGGAATTTAATAGTCTTCCCCAATTTATTTGGCTTTGGAACTCTTTTTTTCCTTTTGGTTGACATAGAGGGCTGGTGTTTTAATAGAACACACTGTGAGAAATGCTTCCATAATGTAGCGACAAATGTCATCCCTCTTCAAAATGTAACCGAACACATTAAGTCCCCAGGCCCTTTGTGTAATTGAACGGTTAACATTCAGCTGAATTCTGATTTGGTGAGAAGGCTCAGGCCACGTTCATCTCTGCTCTCAAAGCTAATGCCAATGAACCCAGAATATTCATCGCATTTAAAGTATGTCAAATACCAATCAGAATTAGGTCTTCTCAGAAAGAAATTAAAAAAAAAAAAAGGTATGCGGTAGAGAATTAAGACTAGAAAAGCCACAGGCTTCAGCAGGGAAGCTAAATATAGCGTGGAATGTTCTGGGACATTGCAGAAATGCTCACCTCTTCACGAGAGTCCGAAAAACAGACTGAGATTCTAAACAATGTTGGAGAATTAGAGCTGGAACAAGGGTGATACCTCTGATCAACACACGGTGTTTTTAAAGTTAAAACAGCCAAGGGTGATCTTGCAAGAAGTTGGATGCCAGATAAGCCTGGTGGGTACTTTAAGCAGGATTTTCTAAACTTCAGTCATTCATATAATATTAATGTTATGATTCTTTTCCTTATCAGGATACCATTGCTATTGTTTAGTCTTCTCTATAAATTGTCTTATACCTTTTTATAAATTAATTTTTATAAGCTTCATATCTGAGAATTCACGGTTTTGAAGAGAGAATTTTTCTATTGTAATATATAAATTAAAAAATAAAGAAATAATTATTTGTGTTCATCTAAAAGTGGTATGTGTACCATTCTCTGGAAATAGTTTTTAAAGAATAAAAACCTGCCAATGTTGTGCAAAAAAGAAAATGGTAGAATTGTGACTGAGTTAAAGAAGGTAGAAATAAATCTGAAGAATAAGAATAACAGCAAGAGATGAAATATATCTATCTTTACTTGGATGTACAATTTCAAGATGTTTTCATAGGTTGTTTTAAAAAACAGGTTATTCTTTTGCTTGTATTTTAATACAGTGATAAATAAACAGATTATCTACTTTAATAAGCATTATCTTTTTCTTAGTTCTAAGAACTGCAACAAAAATGTCAAATATACTTGATATAAACTGTAAAACCAAGAGAATGTTCATTATATGAGATATTTTATTTATGACAATCCATATTGCAACTTTGTGTTAAATTAGCTTTATTAGCTTTATCATCTTTTGCTTCTAACAATTAAAAGATATATTAAGATACTCTAAGCCCACTCTATTGAAAGCAAAGCATTTCCTCAGTCCATAGATTACCCCATGGCACCAAACATTCTTCCATATTGGTGTCTGACACAGAAATCAAAACAGATAATTAAACCTGTTCCAACAAACTATAGATCAGCAGATTATTTGATAAAAACAAGAGACATTCACTATAGTAATATTATTCAATAGAATTTTCTATGATGATGAAAAAGTTCTCTATCTGCACACATATCAAGTAGCTATTGAATTGGAATTGGCATAGTGTGATGTAGCCCATACCCAAAGCTTGAGCAGCGATAGTCACATACAAATCACATAATGGCATAACCAAAAACTTACTAGACTACCTACAGATTTTGCATTATTTTTGGTCTGGACCCCTGATAGAAAGAACAAATGCCAACCTGATTTTGTCAGAATCATATATCTGTCTGTCATGGTAATACTATTTTCAGATTTTCTAATAGGCTTAAATTCTATTTATTTTCTTTATTGCCAGTTGGTAGCAGTAAAAAAAAAATTGCAAAAGCAACTTGGGTTTGTTCACTTGAAAAACTATTTTGCAAGCCTACTCTTGCCAGGATCCTGGAGACGCAGTACTAAACAAGACAGACATAGTTCCTGCCTTCATGGAACTAGATTCCACATGGGCAGGGCTTGTTGGTATCATAAAGCTTCATCAGTGACACAACAGCCTCATGAGAGCATTGCCCAGATGACCCAGGAACTAAGGTGCACAGAACTCATAGGCATGTACACTTAACTCTAGTACTCATGTGTGAAGAACTTAATCTAAGCCAGAATGTGAGAATCTATTTACAACATGTGTTGTCTCTTGTCCCCTGCTTTCCAAGTGATGCCCCTGCTAAGAGTGGATTATACACCCCAGGAGATTTCAACTTGAACTTTCTTTTTCCCTCGCTCCCTCCCTCCCTTCCTTCCTTCCTTCCCTCCCTTCCTTTCTTTTTTAATTTTAACTTTTTATTTTTTCAATTACAGTTGACATTCAATATTATGTTAGTTTCAGGTATATAGCATAATGCTTAGACATTTATATAACTTTTGAAGTGATCTCCCTGATAAGTCTAGTACCCACTTGGTACCACACACAGTTATCACAATATTATTGACTATATTCCCTATGCTGTACTTTACATCCCTGTGACTATTCTGTAACTGCCAATTTTCACTTCTTAATCCTTTCACCCTTTTCGCCCAGCTCCTCAACCCCCCTCCCATCTGGCAACCATTAGTTTGTTCTCTGTATCAATGAGTCTGTTTCTGTTTTTTTTGTTCATTTATTTTGTTTTGTTTTTAGATTTCACATATAAGTGAAATCATATGGTATTTGTCTTTCTTTGTCTGACTTATCTTCTTCTGCTTCTTTCTTTTCTCCTTCCTTCCTTCCTTCCTTCCTTCCTTCCTTCCTTCCTTCCTTCCTGCCTGCCTGCCTGCCTGCCATCTGTCCCTCCGTCTGTCATGAAGATTGGCTTTACACTTTGTGAAGAGAGTTTCTAAAATCATCATGAATGTTTTTTGTTTTTTTTTCGTATAACCTTGTATTGATGGCTCTGACATGCAGGCTTAGGGAATTTATTGCTCTATATGTCAATGCCCTTAGCATTTTAAAGCAGGTGGATAGAAAAGCTAAGGCCTGAATCTAATCAAACATTTATTCTCTATCACAAATGGATAATCTTAAATGATCAAATAGAGCCAGTTGTATACCTAGATATACTAGCCAATTTGATGTGCTAGAGCTATGCTGTGTAGGCAGGGGAGTTACAATTTATAAATTAATAAGATTTGAGGCTGGAAAGCATCTTAAAAATCTTCTGATGAAAGATAAATGAGTAACAATTCCAAGGTCAGGCAGGTAATATGAATTGGTGAAATCGACAGTGCATAAGACCCCAGGGGTTAAGCTGTTTGTATTCCTAGCAAGCTAACTCCTGGCTAGTTTCTTTGCCAGCTAAGCTACTCTATTGGCCAAACAAAATTAGGGCAGTTTCATCTATTAGGTACAAAAGACATAGTATCTAGGACCTCAAAATTTTTTACAGCCTATAAACCTGTGTAAGACTTGGAAAAAATGTTTTGGCTCTAAAATATAAGAAGAAAATTGTAAAATCAAAATTAATACTCAACTAGATGCCTACAAAATGTAACATACCAACTAATCAACCACAATTCACCTATTTTGCAGCTAATTTAAATTATATTTAATTTGGAATGTGAAATATGATTGTTTTAAACCTGCTTGATAGAGCTGATGGGCGTGCAAGAGAAAGAGTGACTTCGAGCTTCCTCCCTCTCTCCCTCTCTCTCTTTCCCTCTCTCTATCCCTCTATCTCCCCCTCCCTCTCCCCCCTCTCTCTTTCTTTTTCTGCCCTAGAATGGAGAAAAAATAATGTTTAGATTCTTTCCTCAACTGTGCCATTGGATCAAGCATTTCAAAGCTCTCTTGGAAGAAAAACCTTGAACTTGCTAGTCAAAATGCTAGGAGATGACCTTGAGGAAGGGGAGCTGAGGACAGAGCTGGAAACGCTGAGGGACAACCGCTGCAGCCACCCAACTGCTGATGTAAGAAATGTCCAAGCCTGCAGAGAATTTTTATAGGAGTTTCTTTGAGCCAAACTGAGGACATATGCCCAGGAGCAAAGTCTCAAATGCTCCAGAGAATAACAGCTTTGTAGCTTTTATACATTTGAAATTAAGGAGAGAATGTAAGATTCCATGCAGGTGGGAGAAAGCAAGGCGGGAATTGGATGATAGGATAGTTAACAAGATTATGTGCTTTCTTCAGGGAGGTTACAGTTTACTTCAGAGGTGTGTTAATCTAGATGCACAGAAGCAATGGACAGGGCTTGCTTTAAAGCAAAGATAAACCTTTTACTAAAAAATTATGTACCTGGGACGTGACTACCCGTCCTGACCTGCCCAGTTAGGAATCTATGATCAGATTACCCTGTGAGGTTACTTTTCACAGAACTCTTTTTTCACCCACACAACCTTTCGGTTTCTCTGCCTTTTCTCTTTCCTTTTTCTAAATCCATTAGTTCAAAATGGTGGCTGTAAGGATGTATGGATGCTGCAAACATGTGAGTGCTAGGCACTGTCCTAGGTGCTGAGGGGTCCATGATGAGCAACTCAGACACAGTCCTTGTCTTAAATTTGCTTACAGTCTAGCTCAGAACAGGGTACACAAGGATTTAATTCCAGCTCTGCCATTGACAAGTCGTGTGACCTTGGGTAAGCCACTTCACTTCTCTGGGTTTCCATGTTCTTATTTTAACCTCTAGCTCAGCATAGCCTCTTTAGGAGTACCAGTGGTCTTAGACAGTGGTGGGGTACCATTTACATTGATATTTCATTAGTGCTTGTGCCTCTGTCTTTCTACCAGTCAATTCTTGTTTAATTAGACTACACCAGACCAGTGAAAAGGCTGCCTTCTGCACATGGCCCCACCCAGGGACCTCTGGGGCCAGTTACATCAACTCTTTCTCAAAGTTTGTGCTCCAAATTAGCTCTTACGTGCTCTGGCTATGCCAGAGGGTCACATTCATGACCTCATGGGTGTGATGGCTCCAGCAAAGCCCCCAGGGAGCTGGGCAGCCCACTGCAACCTCTTTAAAGGGCTTTCAGAGGAGCAGCGGCAGGATTCCCCCCTCTGTAGGGACAGCGGTCCATAAAAAGAAAAAAAAAGTAATCCCAGAGTTAAAAGATACACTTTCAAAACAGCCCGAGGGCTAAAAAAAAAAAACCAAAAAGAAAAAAGAAAAAACAAACTGTTGTGGCAGACTGGTGGGAAGCAGGAGATAGAAAGATATTCATGGAAAAAACAGTGACATTTGTGGATATTATTCTTTCGTATTCTTTTTCGTATGCGTTCTTTCAATTGCAAACTTAAACCAAGTCTGGCAAATTCTGATGGGAGCACTTTCATGAACATTTAGGTTTAGTCTGGGATCCCTCATTACTAAATTTGTCCAAAATACACACTGGGTTACATATAGAGAGTAATGTAATACATAATCACTGTTGATTTAACTAATATATATTGAGCAAATATTATGTTCTTGGCATCATTGTGGGCATTGGGGATACAATGATGAAGAAAACAGTCTTTGCCCTCATGGTACTTATATTCTATCTAGGGTAGACAGAAAATAAAAAAAAATTAAATAAAAGGATACATATGACAGAATTTCAGGTAATGATAAGTGCTATGAAGAAAAAGGAACTAGAGAAGGGGGTAGAGAATACAGAGGAAAAGGACTGATTTTTAAGATGGGGGACAAGAAAGACTTCTTGACTGAGGTGACATTTGACCAGAAACTTAAACGAAAGGAGGAGGTGGTCTAGGTGGATATCCGAGGAAATAACATTCCACACAAAGGAGACAGCCGAACCAAATATCTGTCACAGGCTGGCTGCTATGTATTTTACCAGATATTATAAATACTTGCTCAATTAGTTTATAAGATACGAGCCAGGTATTTTTACGCACATTTGAGAAAACAGGTTCAGAGAGGTTAAGTGATGTGTCCAGGGCCACAGTAAGTTAAGTGGCAGAGCTGGAAGGTGACTGTGCCCTGGTGCTCTTCGCTCAGATGGCTCCTGGGGTCAATCATTCCGAAGCTTCACTTGAATTTGATTCTCTGCTTCTCCCACGCAAGGCACACTCACCTACCTAAGCTTCTACAAACTCTGAGCTCTGGAATTTGATGGAAATCTCTAAAGAGAGAGCTTGATATTAATGACTGATTCCCATCAAAAGTAAGATGAAGAACCCCTGAGAAACTAGCTGAGACAGGTACCCAAAATGTCTAGGTCTGAAAGCATTTGAAGGCATTGATAGAATTCGTCCTCATTGCGCTGTGGGGAGGCTAGCCTCTTCTGGACACTGGGTAAGGCTGCTGACTCCATTTTTTTCATTCTGGGTAGAACTGGGTATGGGGGTGGGGGTGGGGGGGTGTCAGTTACACCCGCCCTAACTAAGAAAATGTGCAGAATGGAAAGACAGCCATTACCCTAGGCTGGCCATCGCTTCCTTAGCAACAATAGCTGTGTACACATTCACACACAAACACTGCACCAAAACAAGCAAAGGTCACTCTCTCTGGGCACTTCCAAGAATGATCTCAATTTTTCATAAAACAATGTTTATAAATTAGATAGAACCCCGGAGCAGTCCGGGAATAGAAATAACCATTTTACGAGGCTTCCTGCCATGACATGATTGCTTGTTTGCTTTGAATGAGCAAAATACAACGTGTGGCCCACCCCTTTCAGGGCCAAGCAAAGACCTCTTCACCAAGGCTCCAGCCAAGCGAGTCTGAGTGGGGAGGTATTCTTGGTGTCAGCAGGGGCTTCCATTCATGGCCTTTTGACTAGAAGCACCTGAAAGGCAGGAGCTGTGCCCTATTCGTATTTCTTTCCCGACACTGAGCATGGTTCTTAGCACAACATGAGCCTTTAAGAAATGATTTGGATGTTGAATGAGTAACTATGTGAATATGTGACTGAATCAATGAAGGAAAGAATGAATGAATAACCTGATCTCCAGGGAGAGTACTAAAGAAAATGAAGATAGCCAAGACTACCAACAGTTTCAAGCCCTTGTTACATGTCAGAGCTTTAGATGGGATGGCGTTGAAGGAGCGGTCCATATGCTTTAACCTGCTTTCTGCCCTCACTGGCTTTTCCCCAGTCCCTCAGGGCCTCCATGCTGCTTGCTGTAGCCTGGACACAGGCTTCTCTCCAACCCTAACTCCAGCGTTTACTTTCCCTCTCTACCTATAAAAATTCCCACTATCTCAGCCCCCTGGAATGTAACTGGTTGGCATGAAGAAAAGCATTTGATAAACCAAGTGCCTTAGTTGAGTTCCCTCAGAAACAGACCCTAAGGCAAAGATTCAAGTTCATGTGGTTTATTTGGAAAGAGAGGCTGGAAGGGAAGACAGCCAATAAAGGGTGCATTATTAAGTGAGTTACCACTATGGGCAACTGGACCTTCGCCCCATGTGGAAACTCTGAAAAGCGGTGTGGGAACTTTGCCACCTTACTGCAAGTTACCCCGCCCCGGGGCAAGGGAGCTGGAGTTTCTACACACCATCTCGTCAGCCATTGGTTAAGGGGGTGTTAATTCTCTGGCACTTCCAGGCCTCTTTGCACATGGGCAGGCTGGCCTTCTGTAGCTTTAGAGAGAGCACTCAGGCACAGCAATACTGATGCCTATGGCTAGAAAGAACCGGGGCATATTGAAATGGTAAAGCTGGAGGAATGGGGGTGGGGCGCTGATGGCATCAGCCACCCCAATTCTTACAGAGTGAAATGGCTGATCACACCCACCACAAATACCCCCCTAGAAGGATCTGACTTTCTAAAGGAGAGCAGATACAGAAATCTACATCTTGTATGAGTCCATTTATATGAAATACCCAGAATAGGAAAACACCGAGAGACAGAAAGTAGATTAGTGGTTGCCAGGGAGGGGTTGGGGAGAGGGGCTAATGCGGAGTGACCGCTAATGGGGCAGGGTTTCTTGTATGAGTAATGAAAATGTTCTAGAATTAGATAGTGGTAATGGATGCACCACCTTTTGAATATGTTAATAATCACCGAATTGTACCCTTTAAATGGTAAATTGTATGATACGTAAATTGTACATGAATTAGACAATTTAACAGAATAAAAATGAAAAAAAAAGAAGAGCTGGAATGAGACAATGCTTTCACTCAAATGAATGCCTCTCATGTTCGGGTTGGAAGATGAGGGAGGAAGTTGAGATTTGGTGGTGGAAGGGTGGTGGTAGATAAGGCAGATGCATGAGCTTTTTCTTGGAATTCTGGGTGAGGTAAGCTCCACTTTCATAAAAGGGTGGTAATGCAAATGGTATTCCCTCCAGGAGAGAAGTCTACCAGGATCTGAGCAGCCCCTATCAAACCCACACCTATAAGAAGTACCTGGATGCCTTTCAGCTGCTGGAGGAATTCTTGGCTACTCAGAGGACCGCATCTCCCAGCTGCAGGACATATCTAGAGTCTGCAAAGGCAAGCTTCCCTCCCCCTCTCCCCTTTCCTTGCTCACAAACCTATGCGAGAGAACTTACAGTTTCATGGAGTTTTACCGATATTAATATTAGAAGGAAGCTTAGGGGTCATCTCTGCAAACCCTTCATTTTACAGAGCAGACTCTGAGGCCCAGGAGGAGGGAGTCACTTGCCCAAAATCACACAATGGTGAGTGGTGGGCTGGTTTTTTCAGGCAGAATTCAGAAAATGAAAGAAAATTACTCTAGGTTTGTCAAGCAAAGAGGGATTTGACATGGGGGAAATAAGTACTGACAAAACCGTTGGAAAGGCTAGAAGGGCAAAAGTTAGGAGGACTGCCATTAGCTTTTAAGTTGTGGTTTCAAGAGTCATGGAACTTTTGAAGCTGTACAGAGCTTGGAAGCCAGTTCTGCCCACAGCCCTGAGGCATGTAAATTTCAGAAGACCACTACAAAACCTCCTGTGCATGGCATCACATGCTGCCCTTTCACTGGCCGATCATAAATCATCTTTAGACTCGAAATCACATTTAGGCAACCCTGGAGGCAAAGGAGTCTGGGAAATGTAGTTCTCTGGCTTCTAGTCCCTGAGATTCAGGGGAGAGGATAAAATGGGTAGAAATGAACACTGATGGTCACAAACAAAGCAAAGCAGTATCTTGCACTGCGGTGAGCCCATTTGTAGGTAAACATTGAGAACCTAGACAGTAGAGGGGACATCTCCTTGGTGGTATATGCTTCTCCCAGAGAACATGTAGTGAAGAGGGACAGAAAAGGGGGCCAGCAGTGGCCAGAATTCTGTACCCGGTCCCATTCTCGGCAGCAGCTCTAGAGACCTTGATGCAGAGGTGTTTCCAACATGATCACTCAGTCTATCATGTCATTCTATAATGCTGTATCGTGGGTGTGTAGTGACAAACCTCAGGGTGAAATGGGGGGTCCTCAGGACCTGTGGGGGCTATCAGAGAAAGAAGTAGGTGTGGGCATCCAGAAAACCTCCATTGGTGGAGCCTGGAAATGTTCATCAGGAACTCTTGTCAGTGCCTCACTGGTGTATCGGTGTTTGGAGGAATGTAGTTTGTTGATACCTGAAGATTTGGGGTCACTTGGTTGGGGTTACGGCTCTTACACTGATGTGATGCACGACTTTGGACAAGTGACCACAGGTTCCTCACCTCACCTCTAATGCTGTTGGGCTACATTATCTACGATCCCAGTCTAGACAGTCTAGTATCTTGACATCAGAGCATCTTAATTGTAAGTTTGCAAGATTGTCCTGACCCCCAAAGTATGGCAAAGTTTCACTGGAATCTAGTGAAACTTAGATTAAGATTTTAATCTTAAGGGGGAAAGTTCTATCTAGATAATTCCCTCCCGATCCTCTCTCCCTTAACCAGAGTGAGGCTTGACCCTTTGAGGCCAATAGGGTCACTATGACATTTGGCTCACACACAAATGTGTGAATTATGGTACACAGCATAATTATGAGTTATCCATTAGAAACCACCCGAGGGCCCTAAATCCTGTGTTCAGAGCAATCCTTGGGCCAAACTTTGAGACAAGGCTTTGGGATGACAAGATTCCCACTTTCTTTCAGACATCCCATGCTTTTCTGTTGTTCTCCTGCTACAAACTCTTGTGGTAGAGAGGCGGCTCATGTTCCTGATCTCTTCCTCATGAATCAAAGCTTATCAAGTGTCACTCCTTCCTAGGCTATTGCTCGCTGTTCGGATAGGAGGGCGGCATTAGTCAGATAATGAAACCCCTGCCACCTTATTACTGAATTCATCTGTTATTTCGTCTAACTTACAGAATATTTAAATCAACTTCAAATGTGGAATTTGTGGTGCGTTTACTACTAGGGCTATTATTGTTATTATTACTAAATAATAAATTATTATTGATGATGATGATAGAATTTTATCTTTGCAGAGAGTTTTGTGGTCTTCAAATTGTTTTCTTATTAGTTTTCTAAGGAAGGATCTAAGACTCAGATCAGTTAAGAGATCTGTCCAGGGTCACTGAGCCGATTAGTGGTAGAGCTGGAAATAAAGCCTAAGTTTCTTGGCTTCCAGTTCATACTTTTTTTCACTGTATATCTCACTGCTGGGAAGAAAAGCTTACAAAGGTCCCAGAATAAGAATGACCGAGGAAGATGGATGAACCAAGTAGAAGGAGTGATGAACACGGTGTGGCCGAAGGTAGCATTAGATAGACTTTCAGTCCTTCACAGTGAAATACCCATCCAAGAAGAAGACCAAGTGGCTGGTTCATAGGATAGTGTGATTTCTGAGTTTTAGAGAAACTCAGAAAAAATAACTATGCATTTATTTCTAAATAAATGATTTCCTGCCTTAGGGAGCCCAGCCAGGGAGGGCCACCATCTTTGAGTAGGTTTGACATTGCACAGCTCCAACTGGTACCATTCACATGACAGGTACTATAGATTTATATATGTATTGTTAAAAGTTCCTGGAAGAGAGCAGTAAAATGTCTTGGTCTAACAAAAATCAATATATTAGGATAATTTTCTGAAAGATGGAAGTGAAGTGTCTTGAGGAGATCTTGAGGATTTTCTAAATCACCCAAAGCCAGAGAGGTGAGGGGAGCATCAGAGATACAGTCCAGGGTCTTGATAATGGGTGATATGGAATAGACATTTGGCTTTTATTTGTTTACTTATTGATTTATTCATAATTCATCCACTTATGCATTATGCATGCATTTAAATAGTCTGTGCTAGACATTGTACCTGCCACTGGGGTATTTAAGACCAAATTCCTGCTCTCAGAGAACTTAGTCTTATGGGAGAATCAGACAAGTAAATAAAATACCTTATAGTAGTGTAGGGTTACATGGGAACCCAGATGCAAAAAATGTAACCCAGCCTTGTAGGGAGCAGACTGACAGGATAGGGAGAGTCAGCGAAAGCCATTTTCCTACCCGAGTAGCCTGAGGGTGTTCCAGGCTGAAGGAGCAGAGGTAATAGAATGTGTCCTCAGCACTTGACATGTATTGACCTGTTTAAACCTCAGAATAACCCTATTAGGCAGGGACTATTATTATTCCCGTCTCACAGATGAGGAAACAAAGGCACAGAGAGATTAGGTAACTTGTTCAAGGTGACAGAGCTGATAGAGAACAGACCTAGCATTTGCACCCAGAGAATCCAGCTACCGCGTTCACCTATTTACCTCTGCCCCTCAAGAGAGAGCATGGTGCTTTAGGAGAACCCAGTATAGCCTGTGGGTGGGACTTCAGGGGAGACTCAGTGCCTGGGGTGGTCTGACTTGGGGCTGGTTGTAAGAATACATGCTTTGTCTCTTTAGCTTCAGCTGGTGACTCTACCTTTTCCTCTGGCTGCTTCCAGAAAGCCATTTGTCTGGGTCCCCAAGGGGCATTTATTTAACAAACTGTGGGGTCCCCAGGAAATTACCCATTCCATGTCTGTCCTGATTCCACGGACATTTTCCAGAAGTTGCCTTGTCAATTTTTAAACTAAATTTTTATCCACTTGTTTTGGAGGCTCTTTTCCCTAAATGTTGAGTGATGGGAAGGAACGGTGAACTGGAAACTTAATTTCAGTTATTTAAGGGCTCTGGTTTAGACTGAGTCCAGTTAACTGTGAGCTTATTGTGTTATTGTCCTATTTAAGGTCTAAAAAAGCTGGAAGGAATGCATAAAGTAAAAAAAAAAAAATCTTGTACGTGCTTTCTCAGAACTTTGGATCTATTTGGTCAAAGTCAAAATTCGTTCTTGAGGGGTTATTAGAAAAAATTAAATTAAAACTTAGCTGAAAAGAAAAATAACTTCTCCTGTACGTGTTATAAGTGTAACAGCCCATTAAAATCACTATGTAAGTTCTTGCCACTGTTCATAAGGTTTGATCCAATGAGCGGAAAGCTCTTCTTTTTTGCTCTATCCTGAGTTCAACAATTATTTAACCAGCACAAGTATTCAACCATTAAAATACCAGATCATTGTATTCACAAGTTACAAAATATGTTTTAGCCAACACTAGAGTATTTCCATATAAAAAATAACAAGGAGATCTTAATAAAATGTCCTTTCTGAAAATGAGTTCATGTGGGTAGTTTGCTATTGATCACAGAGGGTAAAGACCTGTTTGTCACTTTGGTTCATTTACTGTGCGGCTGAGCTCCATTACTGGAGAGGCAGCCTGTACGGTGGAATGGGTACTGGCTTGGGAGTTGGGGTGGGGGTGATGAGGGGGGTGGGGTGGGTAGGGAAACCTCAATACCAACCCCGAGTCTACCATTCCATAACCCTGGACAAGGCCCTTTACTTTGGGAACCTCAATTTCTTATCTAAGATGGATTGGACTCGATGATCTCCGGAAAGAATTGTTTGCTCAATTCTATGGTGAAACAGACCAAAGCTTTGATACTGATATAGATAGGCAAACCCTGAGTAAACGTACATTTTATTTAACCAGGGCTCTGGCTAAAGTTTTTGTGTAAAGGACCAGGTGATAACCACATTAGGTTTTGCGGGCCATATTCTCTCTGTCATAAGTACTCACCTCTAAAGTCACAGGAAAGCAGCCACAGACAGTACACAGGTGAACAGGTGTGGCTGTGTCTCAATAACACTCTATTTACAAAAACAGGCAATGGGCCGGATTTGACCAGTGGAGTCCAGTCTACAACCCTTGATTGAGATGGTGGCTGTAATGTAGGGTTAGGGATAAGCAAGCAGTGGAGACAGAGCCTTGGCTTATCTCAGGGATCTGACTGGGATGGGGGAGGCATGTGAACCTGCTCCAGGCCCACCTTGCAAAGGCCACCAAAGCCGCTCCACCCGTTCCACCTCTGAGGGACCCGAGAGCAGGCGTGAGTGTGTTTCGCCCTCAGGGATGAAAGAGTTAAGGAGACAGGGGCAGACACAATTGTTTCTTTCTAGGGAAACTATTTGGACTTGGGAATTTGCTCTGCCACACAGCTGGAACTCATTACTGCTGCAGTTTTTTAACTTA